CGACAACAATATCTTCCTCATAAAATTCTCCAAAACTTCCATTTAATGTTAGTATTTATTTTTTCCTAATTTCATCAATAATGGTACACATGAAAATTCAACACAAGTTTTTGAATCAAGAAACGAAATAGACAAATAAAGGGGGCCAACCAATAATTATTTCTGCATATTTACATTTTCTATTGTCAGGTGGGGGGCACAGCAAGCTTGTTACTATTTTACAAATGGGTCCCCAAATTTTCATTTATTTACCAATTATTCGGTGTGAATCGATTGATAAGGTTTGGTCATTTCTTTCATTTATGTGATCAATTATTAACCAAATGTTCTGCTTTATCATGATTTCATAATTTATATATACATATTTTTCAATAATTTCTATTATATATAGTGATAAATCATTTTGAATTTAAAAGATGTAGTGTAAAAATCATAAGTACGTTTGAGTATTTTATTTATTTTTTTCTATTGGGCAAAATTAAATATTGAATTAATTCGGGACCATTTAGGGTGGAATTAAGGCCTATATGGCTAAGGCAATCAAGCCCAACATTATTAGTTGTTGGCCTGTCATTTTATTGTAATAATTTGATTTAATTTTAAACTTAATTACTGATTTTTTAATTATTTATACAAGAAAAAACTATTTAGACGTGTAAAAGAGCCCAACATCATTTGTTTAAGATAAAAAAGGGGGAACAAAATAAAAAAAATAATAACTGTATGACTAGTCAAACAGCAACTTGGTTACATTGACCCATTAATTATCGACCAACCTGTAATTAATTAATTAATTAATTAATATAATATTATTGAGTCACACAATTTAATTTCCATCATGAAAAAAGAAAAAAAAGAAAGGAATTAAATGTCACCTAATATTTTCATGTGGCAGTGTTTTTGTTGAACTGTCCACCTCTGTCTAACGGATGATCCTAAATTAAGTCAATGTTTTGGTCACATTTTGTTCCTTAACTCCTCAACATCTTATGCTCCATTTTCTTACTCTAAACACACGTATACATATCCTTACATATATATATATTCATGTGTTTAGAGAGAGAGAGAGAGAGAGAGAGAGAGAGAGAGAGAGAGAGAGAGAGAGAGAGAGAGAGAGAGAGAGAGAGAGATGGGCTTTTTCTTATTAGTGGGTTAATAGTTTTGAATGTGAGATGGGCTTTATAGCCCTAATACAAGTTCATGTGTTTAATAGTGGGCCTTATTTATAAAAATGGACTTATATATTTCTTAAAGCCCCCCAACTAAATAGTTTTGCAGTGGATTTTTTGTGGAAGAAAATGAAATAATGGAAAGTCTTGAGTTTAACATTATCGTTTAACTTATTACTTGCATCAAACGAAATCGTTTTTTTTTTCTTTTCCGTATACTTTTCTACTGCTTTGTATTGCATAGCAAATTTTGGTATCATTATTTTGATGATTTATTTTTTCTAATCAAATATTTGTTTTCATAATGAATATCACGGATAAAGTACTAATTAACTTCAAAATGTATCTTAATATATGGAGTATAAATTGTTTCAATATAAATTTAATTAAATACTCTCTAATTGTAACTTACATTCATTCGAAATGCAACCGGCAAATCGCCCCCGAGAAATAGCTCGCAAATTATTACAAAACCTATTATTTCCTAGTGTGAGGGTTTTATCTATCCTACACCCGGTGAAGGTTACACTGAGTGGTTTTTAACCGTTGATCTACACACACCAATGTGGGTGTGTGTGTTTGTGTGTATATGAATGGTAAAGATTTACCCGGTGTATTTCACCCGGTGTAGGATCTCAAAAGCCTAGTGTGAGCATGTTTGACAAACTTAACCTTGAATTAAATGGCATATATTTTTCTATGTTAAATTAATACTAAATTTTAAAATAGGGAAGTCCTTCCAGAAGTTAAGAGTGCAATAAATGTTGGGTGAGGTACAATTATAACAATTACTGACAAGTAAGGAAATTCAGAGAACATGTCACACAGAGGGTCCCATTAATTAGAGGTCTTATTATAGTTACCTCAACAGCTCAAATAAATGTTTACGTGGACCAATCATATTGATTTAAGATGGCTTTTTCATTTTAATAGTATCTTTTATTTCCCACCAAAATAATTATATATTTATCTTTTCGGTGAAAGTTGGAACTTGAATCATTTTTTTTCGAATTTTTTTAATACCAAAAATCATGATCATATTAAACCATATGTAACATTTTTCTTGAATTTCTAATTGCTTTTTATATATATATTTATTTGTTCTAATATTAAAATATGTATTGTTTTAATAATAAAATAACTATATCTGAAAAAATCAATTGGAAAACTGTCCACGTGTCAATGCATTAGTGGAGTTCTAAAGTCAAAGGTTACGGTACGTTGCTTGGTTGTATGTATCATGTATGTATCTCCATATTTCAACATCTTTAATTTGTGATACAAATTTGACTTTTCATCATCTTATTATCCATGATTCAATTCACAATGAATACTTGTTGTAATTAATTAATGGAAAGCCCACAATACCCATGATATATATCGTTGACTTTCATTAAAAAATGCAGTGACTATATATATATATATATATATATATAACTCATGTCCGTAATTAGGATTAATAAATATTTATGTGGTATTTATGTTAAGGTGATAAATGGAAGAACAAAAAAATATATTTTAATTGATTTTTATAACATTTAAAGCTCGACTCATCAAAATTTTCGAAATCTAAGCATACTGTCGCGCCTAAATTAAAGTGGTATTGATTTGAAATATCATCAGTTCCATGCCTAGTCCAATCAATGGATGTATTTTTGGATTATTACTAACATGTTCATCGATCTATTTTCATACCTAACTTGCAACCCAATCCTAATTGCATGCATGTTATGTTTACTGTACTAATTAATGCATCACATTGATTCTTCTCTACAATTAATATTTATTCTACTATATTTGATATATCACTTTCTACACCATATTTCTTTATTTATTTATTATGTCTTTAAATTATTTTCTCATTCAATTACTCTATCGGTTTCTTTTTAATCGTCTCTTTAATTAGTCATTAAACATTTTTTCGTATCAACTATGTATTGTTTTACTGTTTCAAAACATAAAATTAGTTTTTTTTACAACCAATTTTGCCCTGTATCGATCATCTATATATATGAGTATATATACGTGTAGAGAAATAAAAAAAAAAAAAAGATTTAATAAGCTCTTAATATATATATACATGTATGTACAGAACAAAATTAGGCTTTTCAATTAAAATAAATACTATGCTTCAATATGATTATTTATCTGTGTGCATCTATTTAAAACGACACTTGAAAAGGAAACAAAAACAACGTACCAATTAGCTACAACTAACTAGCTCGCTACACTATATAATAAACATGGCCATGTCTTAACATGATATATTCAGTATAGCAACGAAAAAAATCCTGAAGAAATAACAAAAGATGTCACGAAACGAAGAAAAAGATCACGAATTAGAACCGGTTAGCCCGGGTGCTCGATTAATGCAGGCACCGGGCCTTAATCTCTGTATAATAGCAGTCATGGGTTTTACTACAAAGATCGATCCAAACGTTTTCAAGAAAGGTTTACAAGACACTCTCATCAAACATCCTCGTTTCTCCAGTTTGCTCGTAAGTCCATATATATATATATATATATATATATATATATATATATATATATATATATATATATATATATATATATATACATGCATGCACAAGTATTGTTGTCTGATTTTTTTTTTTTTTGTGATTTTTCTTGTACTGAAATATTATATATATATATATATATGAAAAGATTGTGAAGAACAGTAAGTTTACGTGGAAAAGGACAAGGGTAGAAATGGAAGAACATGTATTCGTGCCGGATTTGGATCCTGAGATGGAATATTCCGGCGACGAGTTCGTGGAGGATTACATGTCGGCTCTTTCGACAACTCCGATGGACATGAAAAAGCCGCTGTGGGAAATACACATACTGAACGTGAAAACCTCCGACGCGGACTCCGTGCTGGTTTTCAAGATCCACCACTCGATCGGCGACGGCGTTTCCCTCACCGCACTAGTTCTCGCGTGCGCCAGGAAAACCTCCGACCCAGAATCCCTGCCGGTCATTTCGTCGGCGGCGTCGGCCAGAAAACGGAAACCCGACGCCGCCGTGGATAAGGGTTTTCTGAAGAGGGTGTTTGTCCTTGTTTGGACGGTGGTGTTGGTTGTTTTCAACACGTGTTCTGACTGTATGCTGTTCTTGGCCACGGTGCTGTTTCTAAAAGACAAATGGACTCCGATAAAGGTGGCGCGTGGGGATGACGCGCTGTCGTCCAGGAAGAGATTTGTCCACCGGATTATTAGTCTTGACGACGTTAAGCTTGTCAAGACAGCCATGAATGTTGTAAGTATATATATATATACACACGGGTTTTAAGGTATGAAAGTATATAATGTTTCTGATCACACTGTTGCTGTGTGTTAAAATTTAAAAATATTGGAGAGCATTAATGACGTCATATTGGGAATCACAGAAGCTGGCCTTAGTCGTTATCTCAACATGAGATATGGTGAGTTTTGTGCACCCTAATTTTATTTTTATTAAAATATTATATAATTATTATTAATTCGATTTATTACAATCCATCTATTTCTGCCATGCATGCAGGGAAAATAAGAGAAAATGTAACTGATCAAGAAAACATGAAAAAGAGTAGTAAGAATCATTTGCCAAAAAATCTTTGCATTAGATCAGCTGTTGTATTTAACCTCAGACCATCTGCAACTATCGAGGTACGTCATCCAGTACCAGACACGTCATTTTCCGATCCATTAATTAATTAATTAATAAATTAATATGTACGATACATGCAGGATATGGCGGAAGTGATGGAGAATGCGAAAGAATTAAAGGGAACATGGGGAAATTTAATAGGAATTTGTCTACTTCCACTCACTATTTCTCTGCACGAAGAGGAAGAGGACCCCCTAATTCACGTTCGTAGAGCTAAGTCTACGATGGACGCCAAGAAACTTTCGTTAGGCCATAAATGCGCTTTCGCCGTAATGAAGCTAATGATGTTTTTATTTGGAAACAAGGTAATTAATATAATAGTTAATAACCATCTTCATTCAATTATAAACGTACATATATTGTTACATGCATATGTATATGTATATATACATACAGATAGCAGGAGGTGTGTCGAGGAAGGTTTTTCAGAACACGACGCTAACATTCTCGAATGTGGTGGGACCGGAAGAAGAGATCACTCTATTTGGTCATCCCTTGTCTTACATTGCACCTTCTGTTCATGGTTTTCCTCAAGTAATTAATTAATTAATTAAATTTATATAATCTAACTAAATAATTTATTCAATATTAATTGTAATTTGGAAGTATTACATATGTATATGCATATGTATGCAGGCATTGATAATCCATTACCAAAGCTATGGTGACAAGCTAATAATAGCGATGGGTGCCGACGAAAAGTTGATTCCGAATCCTCATCAACTTTGCGACGATTTGGCGATTTCTCTTCTAAATATGAAACAAGCTGTCATTAAAAAAGGGCTAGTTCAATTTTGCTGAAAGCTGAAGACTAGTGTGGATTTCTCAGCATTACTATATAAGATACAATCTATATTATATGTTTCTATTTATTTAATTATGTTAATGAAGAATTTTTTCAGCCTTAATTAATCATATTTATGTTTCCTTTTAGTGTGTGTAATTAATCTGGCCCAATCGCATGGGGTCAACTTGGGCCGGTTGATATTATGATTTATTTGGAATATAGAATTTGTATAAGCAATTTGGGCCCACAAGGAATACTTATAATTTTCTTGATGTATAATTGACATGTTATTGGATTAATTTTGGACCCACACATAGTTCCATCAAGTGTAGATATATAAAGTCTGAATGTCCACGTCATAATGTAAGACAATGCGTCAGAATTTGGTAGTTTTATTTGGGGTGTTCACTCGGTCAGTAAACAGGCATAATCGAAACGAAGCGGAAAATTCGATTCAGTATTCAGTAACGATTTTTCGGTCAAATTTGATAAGTGTAATTGTTATTCATTTCGAATCATGATAAAAAAAAATTGTTATTCAAAATTTACAATAATACGTTTACACCGAGTCATTTGAATTCTTTTATCCAAATATTTCCTTTAAATTCACATCCCTTTGTTCCTTTTTGCAAATTTGAAGAATTTCAAAATATATATAATATCCTTTTTTGAGGATACAATACGATATTTCTGGATCCACCACTGAATCATGCATACCATTCAAATAAAACAACATTATTTTTTTGCTATTATTGCACGACGTTTTCATGATCATAGTACAATATAATGCATCATGATCCAGTAAAAGCATATTCATTGACGAAGAATAATGGTAATTAATGCAATAAATTAAAAAAAAAATCAAACTATATAATAAAAATAAATATTGTTCTAGTAGTAGTTAGAGGTAAATATTCATTGTCACCTCAACTATATGACAATGACTTTACGCACCAAACTCGCCTAACTTGTACCAAATATTTCCCTATACTAATATGTACTCCCTCCGTTCCTAAATAGGTGTCGTTTTCACATTGGCACAAATCTTAAAAATCTCAATAAATATGTCTTGATTTTAAGAAAATAGATATTAATTGACCAAAATACTCTTATTTAATAATTAATGCAGGAAGAGTGCTATAGAGTTAATAAGGGTAAAATTGAAAAATAAGCAATTAATGCAACATTGGAAATGTAAGAAGACATATAATATGGAGCAAAAAAAAATCTCAAAAAAAACAGATATTGTGGAACAGAGGGAATAATAAATAGTTACATTCACTACATCCAAAGTGTATCTGGCACATTAATTAACTGCTCAAAAGTCATGTCCAATAAAATGTCAATTTTCCATAATTTAATTGTATTTAAAATATATAGATATCTTGATTTTATAATATAAAGTTAAAATCATTTATCCAAAAAATCTTTTAGGTAAACTGAAACATAAAATATAAACTTTACAGCTAGCTTTTCGACGACCATGTTCTTCATTAACTAATATGTACAATCTCGCCTAACTTTCACATACTAGGTTATATAATTCATAAACATTAATTTCCCTCCAAATTAAATTAATTCTTCATTAATACACACACACACACACAAAAAGACTTGTATGAATTTCACATACAACAATAATAATGTCAACAATATTAATGGAAGAAAATGAAGAGCCTGCTAGCCCGACTGCTCGAATGATGCAAGTACCGGGTTTCGATATTTGTATATACGCAATCATGGGTTACGTGACACTCATCGATCTCGATTTATTCAAGAGTGACTTGGGGCAAACCCTCGTCAAACATCCTCGTTTCTCCAGTTTGCTCGTAACTATCTCTTTCTTTCTCCATATATTATAAGTATGTACATTTTAGTGTATGTATTATAAGAATCGTATTTTACAATTTATTTTTTTGGTAATGAATCGATTAGGTTGCGAAGGATAAGAAGGGTGGCAAATATTCGTGGAAACAAACAATAGTAGACATTGAAAAACATGTGTTTGCTCCTGATTTGGACCCGAACATGGAATCGCCTGACAAATTTGTGGAGAATTTCATTTCACGTCTATCGAGAGAAAAACTGGACCCCACAAAGCCAGTATGGGAAATGCACGTGCTTAATGTGAAACCATCGTACGCAAATTCGACGGTTATTTTCAAGATTGACCATTCGATTGGAGACGGTGTTTCTCTCATTTCATTTATACTCGCGTGCGCAAAGAAAACGTCCAACCCTGAATCCGAACCCGCTATGCCATCCAAGAAACCGAAAATTAAAATTGATCGTGATAAGATCAATAATAATATTGGATTGTTGATGACGATGAAGAAGTTGTTCTCGTCTGTTTGGATAATATTCCTCGTTTTTTATTACACTTTGATTGATTTAGTAGTGTTTTTGGCAACAATATTGTTTTTCAAAGACACGAAAACCCCTATTAAAGGAGCAAAAGAGGTCGAAAACTCTCCCAAGCGATTTGTTCATCGGATTGTCGATCTCGACGATGTTAAGCTCGTCAAGAATGCTATGAATGCGGTATGTGCATGTACTTACAAGTTTAATTCTTGATTTTATTTATTATTTCTTTTAATTTCTTTTAATGTAGACGATCAATGACGTATTACGGTGATCAATTTCCCTGAAAAGTTTTTTTTTTAAAGAAAATTTCCTGAATGAACTTATAATTAATGTTTGTTATGCTTCGTTAATTAAATAACCGATCCATCACGAATGACATCACAAATTGGAAAAATGTAGAAAACGTTGCCGACGTGATAAAGAAGAAGAAGCGAACCACTTATTTACCGAAAAACCTTCGTTTTCGATCCGCCATGACTTATAACCTTAGGCCATCACCAACGGTTGAGGTAAACATAAATTTGGTAGCATTTGTCCTTGTTCCGTTAACTATTTATTTGCAAAAGGACCCCTTAGATCACATAGGCAGATCAAAAGCTACCATGGATCGAAAGAAACTATCACTTCAACCCAATTGTGTCTTCATGATACTCAAACTAATCATCAAGTTATTCGGAACCAAGGTAAATTTCCATCACTATTTTCACAAAAAACTGTAAACTTTTCATTTACCTTAATTTCGTCAATATTTCAATAAATACGATACATACAGGTAGCTGCCAAAATAACGAGTAGAATTTTCTACAGTACTACGGTAGCCGTGTCTAATGTGATGGGCCCACAAAAAGACATCGTTTTATATGGCCATCCTTTGTCTTACATTGCTCCCACTGTTTCTGGATTTCCTCAAGTAAGTAATTATTTTTTTGAGTACTATAGGTAATTAATTTTATTCAATGTGATATATATTAATTAATTTAATTATATTGTTGCAGGCATTGATCATCCTTTACAAAAGTTATGCCAAAAAGCTAATTATTACGAAGAATTGGTTCCAAATCCACATCAGCTTTGTGATGAACTGCAGAATTCTCTTTTAAATTTGAAGGAAACTGTAAAAAAGAAAGGGCTCTCAATTAAACCGCTATAAATTAATACAGTCGAAATCAGGGAAATTGTATTAATTTAGCGAATTATTAAATTATCGAGTTAATAATTTAACACGTTTTCACCAAATTGGGACTAAAAGAAACTATTATTAAATTATCGAGGTTGTATTGTAATTTGTAATATGTACCTTAAACTCTTTATTAATCCCATGTAATTGTAATTAATTAATGAATTAATTACAATTTCAAATAAATTAATCCGATTTTATTTAGTGCATCTGCAAACCGGGTTGATGAGAGTGACTGGACACAGGTAGCGAGTATACGTCACATTCTTTCATTTAATTACATTAGACCCCACAACTTATATTTCGCCTAACGCACCGCTACTTTTACCGTTCGTACTTGTGTGCGTAGTACCAATTAATACCCGCTCATTAATTAACATTGTTAGGTCATAGGTGTGAGATGGGCATTTGGGTGTCTTTTTATCGGGTCTGGTACCGTATGTAACATATTGGTCGGGTCGGGTCGGGTCGGGTTGGGTTAACTTCGTTCGAGTGAGAATTTAGTTTTTATTTCGATTTTGGGGGTAACAATCACATTTATGTACAGTAGTCAGCCAAACCAAGACAATTCTCTGCTGGATTTCTAGGTTTAAAAAGGAAAAGAAAAATGAAATACCCGACCATTTTCGGGTACCCAACTAGCGGATACCAGATTGTATGGCGGGTACCCGACCCAAAAACCGGAAACAGGAGCTGCCGACCACAACTTATTGCAATGATTTTCAACTTGGCTATAAATGGAATACAATTTTCAATTTAGTACAGCACCAAAAAGGAAGAGTTCTGAATTTCATAGATAGATGACAATAATGTCAGTAGTAGAAGAAGAAGAAGAGCCTGCTAGCCCAAGTGCCAGATTAATGCAGACACCAGGCTTCGACATTTGTGTATACGCAGTACTCGGTTACATGACCGTTATCGATGTCGATTTATTCAAGAACGAGTTGGAGCTAACCCTCGTTAAACATCCTCGTTTCTCCAGCCTCCTTGTAAGTTGTTCGATTTCGTATAGTATACGTATATAAGTTTCTATTTAAGTTATGAATTTTTACTTATTTCATTTCCTCTATGAATTTATAAGATTGAAAAGGATAAGAAGCGCGGTAACTATTCGTGGAAACGAACAGTAGTAGACATTGATAAGCACGTCTTTGTTCCGGATTTGGATCCGGACATGGAAAATCCCGATGAATTCGTGGAGAATTTTACGTCGGGCCTATCGAGAAAAACACTGGACCCCACGAAGCCGCTTTGGGAAATCCACATTCTAAATGTGAAAACATCGGATGCAAATTCAACGGTGATTTTCAAGATCGACCATTCAATTGGCGATGGTGTTTCTCTCATTTCCCTAGTCCTGGCTTGTGCCGCCATGCATAGCTCCGGTGGTGATTTGTTACCTGTTCTTCCGTCTAAGAAACGAAAAACTAATAGTATTGGTGATCGTAACAGTAATATTGGATCGAAGATGAAGAGGTTGTTCTTGTCTGCTTGGACAATATTATTGGTTGTTTTCTACACCTTGATTGATTTAATAATGCTTTTGGCAACAATGTTGTTTCTCAAAGACTCGAAAACTCCCATCAAAGGAGAAAGAGGGGTCGAAAACACTCCCAAGCGATTCGTTCATCGGATTCTTAATCTTGACGATGTTAAGCTTGTCAAGACGGCAATGCACGTGGTATGTATAATCATCATTAACTGTTAATACAGTTTTAATTAATTTATTAATAGGTAAATCCAAACATACTTTCTTATCATGTGTTCATATTATGTAGAGCATTAATGATGTTTTGATGGGAGTAACAGAAGCTGGTCTCAGTCGGTATCTCAATACGAGATACGGTAAACTTCGATATATCCTAATTCTTGAATACTTAGATATATCATATATAATGATTCTTTGATCTGTTAACAACTTTTTAGTTGTTGGTTTTGCTTTTGTACTTCGTTAATTTTTTTATTTTTTTAAATTGAATTTAAATTACATTCTCTATATACTTCCATAGCCACCACAGAGAAACACGAGAAAAGTAATAACAACACTTTACCGAGAAATCTTCGTCTGAGAGCAGGGATTGCATTTAACCTCAGGCCATCACCTTCAATTAAGGTAATTAAATATCTACATCTTTTTTACCAGACAATTTTTTTCGTAAATTAATTATCGCATGGTAAAATGAGAAAATATTATTTATCAAGGATTTGATCGAGGTTATGGATGAGAAGAAGGAATTAAAAGGAATGTGGGGAAATTTGGTAGGCCTTGTCCTAATTCCACTAACTATTGCTTTGCAAGATGACCCCTTAGCTTATATACGTAGAGCAAAGTCGATTATGGATCGAAAGAAGCTATCACTTGGACCCAATTTTATTTTCATGCTACTCAAGCTACTCATCAACTTATTTGGAACCAAGGTTTTTTTTTTTTTTTTTTAATTCATTCTTAATTTCTACTCAACAACTTACATTCTTAGTAGCTTCGCGAATTAATTAATTAATTAATTAATTAATGATACACAGGCAGCTCTACTTGTGACGAGGGCTGTTTTCACCAAAACTACAGTTGGTTTCTCGAATGTGGTCGGCCCACAGGAAGAGATCAAATTATTTGGCCATCCTTTGTCTTACATTTCTCCTACTGTTTCTGGCTTTCCTCTAGTAAGTCCGTAATCGTATATGATTTCGAATGAGGAATATATAATTTTATTTTTATTTATTAATTTTTTTAATTGTTGTTGCAGGCGTTGGTTATCCATTACCAAAGCTATGGTAATAAGTTAATAATTGCGTTAGCTGCCGATGAAAAATTGATTCCGAATCCTCATCAGCTCTGCGATGATTTGCAGAACTCTCTTCAAGACATTAAACAAACTGTTATAAAGAGAGGGCTTGTTGTCATGGTCTAGATTTCAGTTATGCTGAAATGATTAATTTGAATAATATATTGCATCTATATAAGTCAAAGTTGTAATAATAAAGTCAACTATTTCTTCAACGCCACACAATTTAATTTTTCAGAGAATTAATAGCAACAAATTTGATTCAACACTTGTATTGGTAAAGTTTGTACCTCAACTCCAAATCCTGCTTCCACCATTGATGAATCCCATGAGCTTCCTTGAAATTCTGAGTGGTGCTGCAATTAATACTCAGATAAGCGGACGGAATCAAATGCGCCGCCTCGGAATCTTTTCCCCGAACGGACGACACAATGCTCCCGATTGAATGCTTCGTTGCAAGTTTCCCGATTTTCCCAGCTCCAATTGACTCCATTTTCTCCCTGTGCTCGAAATACCCAATGTATTCCGACGAGACCGCGTCCGATTGACTCACAAACAGGTAGGGTACCCACGCCGCGAGCACGGTGAACGGGTCGATTTCCTGACCTTTGGGCCGGGTATGGGCCGCCATCGCCAGACCGGCGGTGACCACACTACCCGCCAATCTCAGCCCTAATTTCACCTTCTCGTTCTTAATTTTCTCGATCGGGGGAGCGGTGAAGGGTGGGTTGAACAGGTAGGTCTCGAGGTGGAATCCGGTGGTCTTCGCCACGCGCCGCCCGATGAGCAGCGCGATCGACGATCCGACCGAGTGTCCGGCGAGCCAGACGTTTCCGGGGGCGGTGGAGTTGATGACGGCGGTTGCGGACTCCGTCCCGATCTGGAAGCGGCGGCTCTCCTGGAGGTTGTTGATCATGAGGTTGAGATTCAGCTTCAGATCTTCGGCCCGGTTGTTTGACTTGTTGACCGTCCCTCTGAAGGCGATGACGTACTGCGGCGGCCGTTGGCCGGCGTAGTTCTGATAGGGGTACGGGAAAACGAATTCGAAAACGGCGCCGAAATAGGACTGGTCGTGATCGTCGACGAGTACTCGGTTGATTTTGAAGTTGAAAAACTCCCACCACGGCGGAGCTAGGGCTTGAGGCGGCTGACGTTTCTGCTGACGATCGCATTCAATTACGTAAACGCCCTGGACTAAGCTCGCTGCAATTGATCTTCTATGGTTTGAATTGTTCCTGTTCATATTTATATTTACACATTTAAAAACATAATAAATAAATAAATAAATTAAAAAAAAATGTGATCTTACCAATCAATAGCGGTGAGAAACGACGGTCCGCTGAGGCCGAAATTTTCCTTGTCGGAGGCCATAATTAACCACTTCGAATTTCTGTGTTTTGTTACAAAAAAAAAATGGCAGAGATATTATTTAGAAGAAAAATGAAATTTGCAAATATGTTTAGCTGAAGATGCCTACCGACCAATTCTTCTTTAAATGTCTGAAAATATGTTCATATTATATATATATATATATATATATATATATACAATAACGTCTTTTTTCCGGCAAGTTGCTCAAGGGTTAAGAAAGAAGAGTTTGACTTTTTCCAAGGTTTTAAGTCAATGGAAATGGTGGAATCACACAACCACAATCTTTTAGAAAATAAAAAAATTAATTAAACTGATTTGATTTAGTTTTTGGTTTGTAAATAAAGAAAACTGCATCATATTATTATATTACAGTATTAGTACACATTCTCCAACCTTTCATTTCAATACTAATTTATTTTGAGTATACAAAACACCAAGTCAATGCTTATCTTGAAGGATAGAAAATAAATAAAATACAAATGGCCGGGGCAGAATGGGAAACAATTTTTACGGCCCACTTTATTCATTTCAATTTTCAACTGTTTGGCCCAATTGCTTTCTCCTTGAAGTATATTTAAATATTTCTTATTTAGGGTAAATTACAAACACCCCTGAGGTATGGTTAATTTATAAAAAAAGTCATCTTGTTTGGATAATTACATCTACCCCTCAACTATATTTTTTTTTCTTACACCTCCACTCTTATGGTATCAAATTCAACATAATCGTCTAGATTTCGTGGAATGTGCTCTAGTTTGTACTCGTTTTGTGTAAAAATACAATTTCTGATGCACCAGAATCTGATATATACAAACCAAAAAATACATTTTATGATCATCTTGCTTCAAAATATAGGATTCAAATGGGATAAAACGGGTACATAAGTGATAATATTCCATATAATCTCGAAAATTCCACTAAATTTAAGGAATTGATGGGGTGGTTGTAATTATCCAAACAATAGGGGAATTTTCGTAATTTGACCATGCCTCAGGGGTGATTGTAATTTACCCTTATTATTTACTCTTTAAACCAGTTCATAATAACAAAGTTGATACAAAAGTATAATCTACTAAAACAATTATATGATAGGAAAGTGAATCTAAATTTATATTTGAGAGAGTAGTTTTCCAAACTTGGATCGTACTAAATTTAATTTCTACAACAAATATGAGGGGTTAATTGTTACTTTTCGTAATTGAGGGGTGTGTTTGCAACACACCCCATAATTCAGGGACGCGCCATTTAGTTTATGCGACAAGTTGCGATTCGGATCGACACGTTGGAAGCGAAAAACAGATCCGAATTCAACAATAATTGCAACTCTTACCAAAAATCCTCCCTATAAATAAAGCCCCAATTTGAACCTTTCATACAATTCACTGAAGTTTGATCAAAAACCCTAACACTAGAATTTCCCGCTTCAATCTCGAACGAAAGCATTAATGGCGATTCTCTCCGATTACGAAGAACAACAATACCAGAAGAAGCCGCCGAGCAAGCCGTTTAATGCCTCCTTCGATCCGTCGAATCCGTTAGGGTTTCTGGAAAAGGTGTTTGAGTTCGTCGCCAAGGAAAGCGATCTCTTCAAGAGCGATTCGCTGGTGAATGACGTCACTGCGGTTCTGAGGATGGTGAAGGATAAGGTGGCGGCGGAGGAGAAGAAGAAGGAGGTCATGGATCAGGTAGTGCCGCCGCCGATGCAGCTCGCCACAAAAGAGGTGGTCAAGGAGGATGTTATTATGGAGGACAATGCCGAAATTCAGAGTAAAGATGAAGATAAGAAGAATGGCCGCCGAGGTATTAATTTTAGTTTGTATAACTTGTTGTTTTTACTTTAATTATTTTAATTATACATTAATGTGGTACTGCATTTATTATGGCTTTTGTAATACTAATTAATTATAGTGTGCATTGAGGTTATATATATAGACTTCATACTTGTCGAAATTGCTGATTTTTCGACTAACGTAAGCAGCTCCAAACACGGGCAACGGCCTCGACATGGATAATTACTCGTGGGGTCAATCGTTACAAGAGGTTAACATCTCTGTTCCTGTCCCGCCTGGAACAAAATCAAGATTCATCGTCTGTGAAATTAAAAAGAACCATATCAAAGTTGGCCTCAAAGGTCAGCCTCCAGTTCTTGATGTAAGTGTTTCCTGCAATCTCTTTTAGTTATCGTAAATCGATGTTGTTTTCGACATCGTTGAACTACTCAATTCGTGTTGTTTGCATATGTAGGGGGAGCTTTTCAATGCTGTGAAAGTCGATGGTTGCTTCTGGAGTTTAGGTAAGGGAGCAAAACCCCTCTATTTTCTACTTGTAATAATAATCCACGTAATTATGTGGTGTTCGATTTTATTTTTTTACAGAGGATCAGAAATCTATCTCCATTATGCTGACGAAGCAAAACCAGATGGATTGGTGGAAGTTCTTGGTGAAGGGTGAGCCGGAGATCGACACTCAGAAAGTTGAACCGGAAAGCAGCAAACTATCCGATCTCGACCCCGAAACGCGTTCCTCTATCGAAAAAATGATGGTAAAATAATTACTTGTTTAACTTCAATTCGACTATTGGAATATGTATAAACGTATAGTTTTCTTCAGTTTGACCAAAGACAGAAGCAGATGGGGCTCCCAACGAGCGACGAGATGCAGAAACAGGACTTGTTGAAGAAGTTCATGGCTGAGGTAAACCTCGAACACAATCAATCTCCACCTCTTACACACACTTTGTCTCGATTTTTTTTTTTTACTTATAAGAGCTTTTGTATTACTTTGCAGCACCAAGAAATGGACTTTTCGAGGGCGAAGATGAATTAGGAATTTGGGAACTGGCGTTGAATAAATAGTTACATATGGATTGATGGAAACAAATATTCATTTGCTCAACTTTGTTTTTTTTTTTTGTTTCTTCATTTTTTACTGGTTTTAATTGGACCCTGTCGAATTGGGCTTTTGGGCCCATTATTAGAAAAAAAAGCCCAATATCAGACTATATATTCTGCCAGTCAGTGTTGATTTATTTACCCTTACTTTTTTTAATTGGAAATTCAATATAAAAATTAATTAAATTAACCAATTAAAAAAATAAAATTAAAAGGTCTTTTTCCATTAAAAGTAGCGTGGAGCCATATACAGCCATGCTGTGTAGTTTATATTATATTGTCCAATTGCAATAAAAGATATTTGTCACTCAATCAGAAAGTGATACATTTGTTTCATTCCTTCTCATTTTTCTTCACATTGTTTCTGCTACTTTCCGAATAAAATTTTAATTTCATGTTTAATTATTTATATATATATTATACAGGCATGTGAATATGTTGGGTTTTAATTGGCCACTGCCACTTGCAAACTGGGATTATATTTAGTTTGTGCTTTTCTTTCTTATGCCTGTGATAAATGAAAAATATACTAAAAAACAAATGGATCACAAAAAGAAATTATATCAATTAATTATGTAGCTTCATCATCGTTCATGGAATTTAACATCACTAACAAAATTAATGCACACCTACTTCAAATGATTGAAAATAGTCAAAAAATTACGCAATATTAAGTTTTTTTGACAACCAGAAGAAAATATACTCTAGCTAGAATGGTGTTTGCGTAAATAGTTGGATGGACTTCAAATATACATAAAATATGGATCTATTATTTTGTCTGGTTCCAATAATTAAAAGAACAAATTGATGAAATTGGCATTTGGTGACTGGAAGTAAGCAGTGACATCTTATCTTAGCTTGGCCAAAAAAAAAAAGACAAGAATTATTGCGAGTTGCAGTAAAGAGATTTAATTAATGGTGATATCCCACAATACATACATACATACATACATACATACATACATACATACATACATACATACAAAAAGTCTCTCTTGAGAGAGATCCCACCACGCGCCTGCACGCGCAATGAATGTGGAAAACTCGTGAGATACCAACTCATTTTTTTTTAATATATAGTAGTACTAGTAGATGATTATTTGAGCCGTAAATATTGAAAATATAGATATTAAATAATACATATTAAAGTTGGGTAAAATGAAATGAAATAGCTGTGGCCTGGCTATATATATATATATAATATTATTATTATATATGCGATGGACAAAAATCAAACTTTATTCTGAGAGTTTTTGGTGCTGCGAGTATTCTCCACTTGTATTGATATTTTGAATTTGGTAACTTGGATAACAAGTATACCTTAGTAGATTCTCTAATTTGGATTCCACTAAACCAAATTAGAACCCTAATTAAAACCCTAATTTCCTTTACTCATGAGCATTATTTTATTTAATATTTTTTTTAATTTATATGTATTTTTATTGGGTCCAACGCATTTGACAAATAAGTTCGTCCCCCTCTCTAAAACGACAAAAAGTGCATGCACACCAGTATCAGACAATAATCCATTCTTCCAGCTGTTGTTGTTTCCTTTTCATCTTTTCTTGCTTGAGCTGTATATTATATATAATATATATATACGGCATCTCTTTATATATTTTATTTAATTAAAAAAAAAATTAATTGAGGAATATATTTGTGATTAATCTTGATCAACTCAGAAATTAAAGTTCAAGAATTGGAATTGAACGCCATTATGTTTTTTTAGGTTAGAGAAAGAGAAGTCAAACTTTGGTTCTTCTCATTCAGTCATTCTATACGTATATTTTTAATTCTATTTAATTAGTTTATTTTATTTTGTAAATTAAAATTATATGGGTACCCCACCACGTGTCGGCTGCCTATACCATGAAGTCTGCCACGTGTAGGCTGCCTATTCATGCCTCAAAATACATATACACATATATAAAAGTTCACAACCCAAAAAAAAAAAAAAGTGGGGTCACGTGCTTTTTTATATTAATTTCAAAAAAAAAAAAATTAACGCAAATTCCTAATGTGGAAATATTAAGGTTGTAAGTTGTAAGTTGGTAAAAAAAAAAAGGGTAAATTACACACACCCCCCTGAGGTATGCTTAAATAACTGTAAGGTCCCTGTGGTATCGATAATTACACTTAGCCCCCTGAAACGTAGTCAGAAACTCTAATGGGATAATGAATTGGATACGTTATTCCGATAGGGTTCTAACGGACTATTGGTTTCAGAAAGTGGTGAAGACAACAAAGA